GGTTTCAAGTGAGAGAGGTGCTTTCCACTTCTTGTCCAAAACTCTTTGCTAGTACTCTCACACACTGTTGCGTAAGTGTTATTGTTTATATCTATTTTTGCATAAAACCCATGGGACTATGTTAAGGTAAAATATCCTCACTTCAACCGCTGTTTGTTTAATCTGTGGAGATAGAAAGGATTGCCCAATCGTGAAGGTTCGGAGCACCTTATAAGCATGATAGCTTTGAGGAATATCCTGAAAACCTAGCTCTTTGTAGTGTATCTTTGTGGCCGTTTTCTCTGGAGCCGCATAAAGGAAGGTTCCTAGCTGTTACCATAGCACAACCCTTTATGGTGTGGATGAATCCTAGAAGGTGCAGAAAGCACAACTTTTCCATGTTGATCTGTGCTTTGGGTTATTCGTAGGAGGAAAGCTGCATTTAAGTGCATATGTTCAAGCTGGGCAGGGGGAATGGAGTCACAGGAAATATGTAACCCTGGAAAGGGACGGAGGTCTACGGAAGGGCTGCAAGAAATGACAGAAGAGCATGAGCAAAGCCTGCAAGGATGGGGGAAAGTACCATAAGGATGCTGTGAAAGGGGTGATTGGAAAGAACTTTGAACACAGTCCCAGAAACATGCAATTTTCACATAAGTGCCTGATTATTCTTGTAAACGTTGCTGGTTGAAGTGCCTACCTTTATGGTTTTAAGGCCTCAACATGTGTCTGAGGGTAGTAATGGATTCACATCAGGCAGTCTGATTTTAGTGTGATTAGTTGCAGCTCTTATGTCTGCAAAATTAGCCTAACAGTCTCATAAGCACAACTGTTTAGGAGAGAGGTTTTCCAACTTTCCTTTAAGGCAAAAATATCCCACGGTCACTTTGTGTCTGTCATTTGTTCTTAGAATCGGGGGGGGGGGAGGGGAATAAACACAAATACAGCATGTTCTACACTGATTTTTATTTATTTTTATTTTGGGGATTAAATTAAGTTTCTTCGGGAGTCCTTCAGAAACACAAATACACTCAGCACAGGCTGTGGTCAGAGGTTTAGAATCAGATCTTATGTTAGTTTAATTTCCTTTACTGAAGCAAAACATCAGTCTTTCCTGGCAGGCTGTCCACCCTAAGCAGGAATATTTTCCATAGTCAGCTCCAGATAGGCAAAATCCTAGAGAATGCCTTTAAAGAAAAATACCTTGAGTCACCATACCTTCAGTCAAAACAGTAAGCAGTGATTTCCAATCCGCCTTTTCCTCAACAGAGTAAGTCAAGGGATAAGCAATCACTGCTTTCTGAAATCAACAATGTCAAACCTTGACAGAGGGGAGGTTGGTGAAGAAAGGTTAGCTTTGGTGTCATTGTGGCATTAGGTCTGAACAGCTCTGGGAGATCACTAGTACAACCTGCCATTCACAGACCCCCAAGGATTTCTTTTTTAAATGAAAGGTTGCAAAATCTCATTCCCTATTCCAGCACTGCACACACGTTTTCCCCTTCCCCCATCAATCGGATGAAGCTAATGGGAATCAGGTCCTTAATGGAGGGCAATGGCAATTCTGTGCAGGTGGGAAGGCATAAAACATTTGCCAGCCAACCTGTTTTGACTGGTAGTCAATAAAATATTAATATGTGACCTTAACCATTTTCACTTTCCATTAAAAACCTCAGGACACTGGGACCTGGATATTTAAAAACTCTTACATTTCCTGGTAATCAGTGTTTAGAAGTGAAATAGAAAAATGTACCTATACTCAATGGTGTTTGTAGCCAGAAAGCTGCTGTCACCAACTGTCTCTGGTCTTAGATGCCAAGGTCCTTTTTAAAGGACTTTGAATGCAACCAGATTGGAGAGGGACATATTTGCTTTGCTTATCCAAGCAACTTTTGTCTGTTGAACTAAGAAACAAAAGGTGCTTGCTTCAGTGGCACCCACTGCTGGATTATGGCTGTGATCTCTTGCCCAGCACTAATCAAGACGGCTATGTGAGGTCTAAAAGACTAGATGAACGTAAAGCTTAATGTATGTGCTGTCGTTTCCTGATTATGATGATTTATGCTGTAGGGTGGCAAGATAGCTCATTAAAACAGGCATAAACTTCCAAGGCTATACTCTTCTATTGCCCTCCCCAGTACTTATAACCAAGAATATTTGTATGCAGTAAGCTATTTTAGTGTTCAAAGACATTTCCTTCACTACTGTCACTAACGCTACAGGAGACTGAACTGGTTACAACCAGGATAAACCCTAATTCTTCCATTCTTTGGCACGTGGCTGAAAGCAGCTGTCTAGGACCACTAGGAAGGATGGCTTGGGAGCTGGAAGCACAAAATGGAAGCTTCAGAGATGCATCTTTGCTATGAGCTTTGGTAATTAACCTCATTTCTCGGTCTTTATAGGTCCCAAACTTATTTATGTCTGCTGGCAGGATTGTTTACTGTGTTATAGCTTTGTCTGTGGTATGAGGTGAAATACTGAAGCCACTACAATTATTAGGCTCTGACCAGCAGCTGGAATTTCACCCCCTAGGCACCTTTATGATCTTGCTTCTGTGTGTATGTTCCTTATGAGTTGAATAGCACTGCTCATCTGAGAAGAATTATACAAATGCCTGGTATCAGTAGTTCTGGGTCATGTAGCGCTACAGATGAAGTGGTGTGAAGAGTTGGTGTGTTTCATGTGTTTTAAGTATGCAGAAGACTTGGAGCAGAAATTACAGTAGAAACAAAGATTTTTTTCTTCAGTGAAAAGAAATGTTTTGATTTGTTTTAACTTGAAAATGGTTGCAAGTATAAGACCATAATTTTATCCACTTTCTCATTTTTTTTCTGGGTGATGTTTTTCCCTCTTTTCTATTGAGTCAAGTTACACAGGCTGCCCTATAGCTTTGTGTCACTGTGCAGCAAAACAACCTATGGACCAATAAATGAATGGGGAAATATGTTAAGGAATGAAGTGTTGTGCAAAGAAGTGCATCAGTACATCCATAACACCTAACTGAGCATCAACCACAGGCACAGTGGTCGATGCAAGAAGGAAGTCCTCTGGAGGCACTTTTTTCGTATTGGTTTGAATTTCATTCTCACTACCATCCCTGCGTGGTGTGGCCTGGCTCATGCTTGTGGTGCTCAGGGCTGCGTCTCTGCTGTTGAGTGACTGGGATACTCCTTGACCAAGGTCTTCCCCAATCCACTGCATGGCCCCTGTGACACTGAGGCACAGGGATGGCTATTATGTATGTGGGTAGGCTTTTAATCCAGAGTGCTTTAAGTGCCAGGGATGGATGTGTCACAGACTCCTCAGTTGATGCCTGCATCAAACGCACGTGGTCTGTCCCATGGGACAAGGTGGAAGGCTGCAAGGCTTGCTAGGACACTGCTGGGACTTGTCCTGAGAGGAAAGAACTAGATACAATGGCATTTGTGGCCACAGTGTCTGTCTGCACTGTTCCCCCATCACTTGTGCTCAGATTTCCTCTGGGAAGGGAATGATTGATTTACTCCAGAAGGAATGAACTGCTACACAGGCACTGCAGAAGGCAGCGGAATCAAGCTGGGGAGAGAGAAAAGATCATCCCAGGTCCAATCTTTACCTTAATTGCACCCTGGGCTGCAATCCCCACAGTAAAAGAGAGCATTGGTCTCTACTTTTACTGTGACTGCAGGACACATGACACACAAAGGGCTATTAAAAATGTAAATTCTCACATGATTGCTGCCACAAGTGATCGGTCCCTGAGACCATAACCCGAAGAGAGCATAACCCCAAGGCCCGTGCTATTGCCCACTCTTCTTCAGCTCATTCCCACGTGTGGTAACCAGTGCGTCCATTGATGCTTCAGACTTTACACTTCTTCCTGTGCTAAAAGGGCACAGATCACATCTGGAACCAGCTGCTTTCTGTCTCTTGGCATTGGACACCTTGGGGCACTAGTGGCTAACATTTGCAAGCCCTCTCCCCACTCCAAGCTCTGAGGTCAGGGCACCAATTGCTGCAGTAAAAGAGCATGGAGCAAGGGCTCTTGCCAACCTTTGTCATCTTTGTAGCTGTATATATGCTGTAGCATTCAGCAGTGTGCTGGGCTCATGAAGGTTTACAAACTCTTCCAACCCTGATCACAGTTATAAGTTGGGGGACCAATCTGTGTTGTAAAAGAGCTTGCAAAGAATTTTCTCTTCTCAGCACAAATCCTCTTACAATGTCTCTAGGCCCTGCATATTGCAAAAAGTAGTTATGCTTCTGACGTTTTTTATTCTCCAAGCTGTAACTATAATCCCAACACAAACCCTAATGTTATTCACAGCCAGGAGGTGAACCCACTCCCTAAAGGAGCACATAATTTTATCTCTAGTAACACCAGCTGTTCTTCCATTGTTGAAGAGCCTCTGTGATGTATTCCTCATTAAATTGAGCTACAGAAGTCAAGTCCACCCCATCCCCTGCACCTGCTATAACCAAGGGATCACTCCCCTATGGGACAAGAGAACCTATTGCCTTGGTCACAGCACCACTCCTTTTCCTAGTGCCTCACACCTTCTAGAATAGATTAGCCTCTGCAAAGTGTCCTTGTCTTCACCCTAATTCCAGTCCCAACTGCATTCTTAACTGTAGCAAGGGGACCACAATGAAAATGAGTTTGTCCCTGACAACAGCTTTCTGCCTAATTCCAAGGGTTCTGTAGAGTCCAGAAGAAAACTGAGCATTAGAATATTATATCTTTGCCATAAACCCAAATACTACCTACAGCCCTCATGCTCCAGGAGCTAATGACCACTGGATAAGACCCAGTAACTACTGAAAATGACATCCTGCTTCCTAAAGCTGTGGGTCCTGACATACTTTGCAGTGAACTAGCCTCTTACTGCTATTACCAGCTATATTGTCCCTGTGGATGGCACAGGGCAGAGATAATGGGGCAGGTGGGTAGGGAGGGGTTGACTAGGTCCCATATATTAATGACATTGCTGTGGTTCCAGCCTTTAAAGAAGAGACTTTTTTTTTTTTTTTTTAAACAGGAACAATATATCATTGCCTATCCCTAAGAAGAAAGGTTTAGAGAGCAAATTCTGCTGGGATAGAGTTGAAGGAGTGTCTCCTCTGGAGGAAGACAAATTTCTTTCTTTCCAAGCGCCCTTTCTGCAGACCCTGGGAGAAGCTGACCTCTCAAGGTGCCTGAATTTCCTCTTGGATGCTCACCCCAAAAGGGACTAACATGCATACAGCACGTGTAATCAGTGGAGCTGGACCAAACAAGGAGTGACCCAATTTGCCAATGCCAACACAATAGGCAGCTACCACCTTAACTACCTGCTGGGTGTCTCAGCTCAGGTGATGTGACAATTTCCCAGTGACAGCAATTATCTTTCTGGTCTGCAATTCACTTTTTGGTGGGTTTATCATGGCATCCCAGATAAAATATGCATGAGCACATTCTGTCCATCCTCCACAGCCAGACTTCTCTTACCGGCAGGTTAGTAGGCACACTGGTGTAGTTGGCAGCGTTAGAAATGTTTTTCATCCTTGCTACAGAAATATGATGGTGGAGCACTTACTTGCAAGGGCCCTCTAGATTTGTTCTTGGTACCATTGTCTTGCTCTGATTTCATCCACATTTTACTGGAAAACAGTACAGAACCAACATAAGACTAATGCATAGCCTTTAAAAAATTCAGAGATGCAGACAGACAATATTATAAACACTGTGGGCTTTATTTATTTATTTATTTTTAGTTTGTCTCATTCCTGAAGCTGCCTTCAGCAGTTTCTGCCAGAAAATACTGTTATTAGATTGTTGTATTACAGTAGTATTCAGCTAATGATTTTTAGGAAATGGCTACAGAGATATCTATTTGTCTGTGTGTGTGAAAGAGAAATATGCCATTTATATGAAACATCCCGTCCATAGCCATACCCAGTTAGTATTGGAAGACTGTTTATAGACTCAGTTGTACTCTGTTGGTGCTAAAATTGATTTCTTGGCTGAATTATTCTGCAATAGAATAAGCCCACTAATTGTGCACCTAAATAAAATTGAATTTTAACAAATTGACTTTTATTTTACCTAGGATGATAATTTATTGACACAAATAGAACTTCTTAATTAAATTTGGCATATCCAGGTCTGTTGAGGACATGTTAAACCCTTTTGCCATGTGGTTTTAGAGTACAAAAAAAAAAAAAATAGACTATCTTGATATTCCTAGATTAAATTCTGTTTATTGCAGGTTGTACAGCCAGTCAATTATTTTGACTATGTAGTTCTTAAGGATCCCACATGGATTTAGCATAGATCTTCTGTGAAGAAGGACTATTAATTTATAATTTCTCATTAAACACATCAGAGATTGAAACCCATTGTTACTATTCTAGAAATAGGTGTCTTAATTCAAGAGTGCCTCACATGCAATCTGTAAAAATGGAAGGAAAGCGAGGAGTACAGAATTACATTTATCACCATCTCTCACAGTCTGGATCTTGCTAATGCTGGAGAAGGTCACTAGAAAGGAAAATAGCTGCAGCATCACCAGTGCTTTAGGGGAAACTGAAGGCTCAGGGTCCTCACCTACACATTTGCTGAGATAATCCCCCTGGAGGAGTTGTCAATGAAGTTGCCCTGTTCTATGCAGCAGGTAGGGCACCTCAGTCTCAGTGGTAACCCTGGTAATATGAGGCCTTGGATTCTTCCTGGAGACCAGAGTTGATCCCTGTGGTCTTCTGCTTTGTGGAGTGTGATGGAAGCTTGAACCAGAGGGTGAATGTCTGTAAATGTCCATAACTTTCCAGTAAAGCTTGAACCAGAAGTAAATGTCCATATGTCTGATACCACATCAAAGAACAAGGCTGACGCTACTGACTGCCTGTTCTGCAGGACAGGCAGGATCTATGAGGTGCTGGTAGGCACTTCTTGGTTCCCAGCAGTAAGTGCTGCCAACCTGCCTCCTCCTTGAAGTGCTGTCACTGGTACCAACAAAGCAGGAGAGGAGCAAAGTAGTCTTTAATGAAAGATCAGCAGATCTTTCTTCTTGCTCATTCCTTAGGGCTGCAAACCACGAAGGAGAAAACAAAAACTTTCTTGACTTCATACTTAGGGACAAGAGGATGGATTAAATTCTAATTGTGTTATCATGCTTCACCCAAAGTTATGATATTTTTTCTTGATTTCTATAGCCGCTTTGCATTTAGGTCTTATATTTTTGTGTTATACAAGTATGCATTGGTAGAACACCCAGATATTTACATTCAGGATAAATATACAAAGAAAAAATGCAGTGAAAACCAGCTGTGAAACAAAGATATATGTGATGTCAGAGTACATATAGCAGTCTTCAGTTAAGGTTTCTCCCTTTCCTAGTTATGTAAACATGTTGCTATATGGTTTCTGAACAAGGAGGTACCTGTTTTTGTCTCTTTGAAAAGAAGAGCAGCTGCTTTGTTGCTGCTTTGCTCAGGGAATGGACTCTGCTTTCAAGGGACAGTGCCTGAGCAGGTTTACTGCTATGTGTCCTTTCACCTGGGTGCCTACAACTTACTGCTGCTCAGTTAATTTAAAGGTGACTGCATTAAACTATCAGATTGGTAAACACTGCCTAACATGCTGGTCAATGTACTGCTTGTATTTCAGAGCATGTATTTCACAGGGGGAGATCTCTGCCTTTTTGGTATCCTGTTTTGATCAGGTTACAAGTGCAGCAGTCCCCTGGGCTCTGCTCAGAGGAGCACGCCCAAGGACTGGACTGGGCTTGGCTTGCAGGGGCACTCTACCTTTCTACTTCTTTTCCATCATTTGCAACGATGAAGCAAGGTTTTGGCTTGAAAAGTCTCAGTGTTAAGTAGGATGGCAGCATTTTGGACTACACTGAAGTGGTAGAAGTCTGTTCACGGGTAAATTCCTTGAGGTGCTTGGGAGTCACTCTTTACTGCTATTTGCTGCCAGTAGCATCTTCTTTTGCTTTCTCCCAATTTACGACTCCATTTTGAAGTCTGTAGGCCTAATATGTTTCGCGCTGTTCCTTTTCTTTAGTAACACAGCAGGCAGACACCATCAAGCAGCTCAAAACACCCTCCTTAGGTTTCCAGAATGAAGCTATTAGCCAAGGAAAAACACCACTTCTTCCCTCCTTTACCCATCTGGTGCCTACTCTGCAGGGATGAAAACTGTCAGTCTGTAATAGGCTGACACAGTACTGAGAGGGTGGCCTTCTTTATGAGGGAGGAATACATATTTGTATGACTTTAAGATTTTTTTCTTCCTCTAGTTTCTACTGTATTCTGAAATGGGCTATGTACCTGCATTTGGCAAGAGAAACAAGGAGGAAGGAGGCAGGGGTGAGGAGTGAAACCATAAACAAGCCAGCCCAAGACAGCCCCTTGTTGTGAGGCTACCTATTTTGACACATGCTCGTATATTTTAGAGTACAGCACATTGAAGGTGACTGTTTTGGCTGCTCTCACTCCTGGTTCTTGGCTCCCAGCCTGGCTTCTGGAGTACAGGGAAGAGTCAGCCCCCTGCCAAGCTGACAGGCGCAGACCAGGAGAACTCACCAGCATCCTCTGCCCTCCAAAAACTAGTCCTCTGCTGGGCACATGGGGGAACAGTGCCTCAGGTGAGGTGACAGGGCTGCCAGCTCCCAGCATGGGTTTCAAGACACAGGATAGCATAACATGGGTACAGAAGGCTGATGCTAAATGCCTTTTTAAAAAAGAAACAAGCAAACAATTAAATATCTTTATATAAAGGAGGGGGAAATACAAACCCAAACACATTATTTCTCAAATGACTGTAATAGAAGTTTTCTCAAAAATTTCTGAAGATATATCAGCTATTATACTTGGATCAGAAAAAAAAAATAATTGTATGCTGGCACACAGTGGGTAAATATCAGATGTTGTCTGCTTGTTGGCTTTTTCTTCCATCTCCTTCAGATATGCTCATCTGATTCTCTCTGTAGCCTGATAACTGAAACTTACTGTTATCATTCTGGTCTTGCTAGAGTGCTGTGTCTAAAGTGAGCCACTGCACTTCAAAAAGAGCAAGGACTGACTGAAAAAAGACCAGGAGTCAGCAGTGAGATACATTTTATGAGAAAGATGGAACTAACCTGAAACTGGGGTGTGTGTGGTAACTATTTTCAGGAGTTGACATGTAATCCTTAATAAGATTTTCAAAAACATCAGCTGTATGTATTTATCCCTCAGAATGAACTAAAGTAGGACTTGATTAGCTGAAGGCTCCCTGTGGCATCTCAGGAAAGGGGTGAGGGCCAAAAAATTTGGAAGACGGTTCCGGTTTAGAGCGGATGTGCACTGCGGTGGAAACCACCACAGCACACCCTGACATCACGCAGGTGTCTGGAGCTCAGGTTGACACCCCTTGCTCTACAGGATAAATTATTTGTTTTATTTAGGCATGAAATATTCCTATATGCCATAAGGACCTCGATTAACACATTTCAGCATAATTGTTTATTTGTATATATCACATGAGTTTAAAAAAAAATAGAAAAGTAGAAATAACCATTGTGGCTTATCCTCTTGGTGAGAGAGATAGAGGCTGTGGCTTGGGAACAAAATAAATTTCTTTTTCCCTAGCATGGAAACAGGACTGGCCCAGATGGAGAACCAGTTTTCAGAGGCAGGAGAAGCTGGAGGATGCGGATTGCCCTGCAGTCCTGGAGGTGAGGGATGTACTGCTGGTGTCTATAAATAGAAAACCTCTCTCTCTAGGAGTCCCACTGCTGCTGATAAGGTGGTTGTAAACAAACCCAGAGCACAGAGGCGCAGCTGAGTGTGATGAAGGCAAACATGTCTATACTCATGTGGAAGTCCAGCTGGCTTCAGCCTACACCTTCATTTACCTCCTTCCCATGTTTGCAAGACAGGGGTCCATTCTTCAAACTTAATGGGCTTCTGACTGTGAATATGGCATGGTTTCTGCACCAGCCTACTGGAAGATGACTCCAAACAGCTGGTACCTCTGTGTATGCTGCAATAGCTTTTATTGATCTGATAGGTGAAATGATGCGTGTTCCACACAACAGTGTGCTGGCCCTCTTATTTCTTTAAACTTTTGTCCAAGTTTAGGCATGGGATAAGCAAACAAAGAGCAGAACTGCCTCCTCCCTCTGATTCCTGTCAGAGGTAAATGGCCATGTGGGCAACCTCTGTTCAGCCAATAGGTTGTGCAAAGAGGCAGGAAGAGACACCACCCAGTCAAATAATATAGACAAACCTTGTTCAGTTCATTATGCAATTTCCTCTTAGAAGGGGGGATAGTCAGGAGGCACGTTGGTGGGTGGTGGTGCAGGATCAAGCAGCACAGGCTGTCCGTAGCTCTGACCCAGAGTTTTAGTGCAAGATGGGATTTGAACGTTCAATGTTTTGGTTCTGTGGATGAAAGGAAAGGATGGCGCCACTTCCCTCCATCATGGGAGTGTGAATCAGAAGTGATTCATAGCTAGCGAGGTACTCAGATATTTCTTAAGATAGTCGTAAAATGATTTGAAAATAAACAAAAGTGAAATATGGGACTGGATGAAATGGAAAGGCAATATAGTGATCCACCCACTTTAAAGGCCAGAAGAGACCATTGTGGCTATCCAGACTTCTCCCATGGCACAAATCTCAGGACTTCACTGAACTTCTTCCTACTTCAAAGCAAGAGCTGTGATCCAGCTAGAGCACATATTTTAAGAGAAACTGCCCAACTTGATCTTAGAGGGACAATATAGTGGGAGAATCCACCACAGCCCTCAGGTTCCTTCCCTATTAAATATATGTTTCTCATTTCTTGTCCTTATTTGTTGTGGTTTGGCTCCTGACAGTCAGGCTCACTTCATGTTGGTACGCTACCTGGAAGGGCACACTGTTATCTTGACTCTGTTGCCTGATCATAGGACTCTGAGCATCACTAAAGGCACTCCATGAATTTTTATTTTGTGAGCTTGCTAACTCCATTGAGCCCTAAAGGCATGGGTTAACTGGGAGTCCCAGGAGTGCTCTCTAACTCATGATTTTGGGCGAGTGTCCAGTTGTGACCTTATTCCATACTCAAGCAAGCACAGCCTCCCACTGCCACCACTCTAGGCTCTGCTTCTGCACCAGAAAATCTCAGGTTCCAGGCATGCAGAGCCCCTTCAGCTGTTCCCCTGTGGAGGGTGGGGAGGGCATGAGGACCCTATGATGTATCACTGGATGCATGCCTCTGGTTGGCTAGGTACATGCAGAGAATAACCCATCCTAGTGTACTCAGCAACCTGCTAGCTTTTTTTTTTTTTTTTTTTCATGCTCATTGCCAAATCTTCTCTGGGATTTTAGCTTTGAACTGTGGACCTCGCCTGCAGATGCTCTATTCCAAGGCTGGTCATGCTGTTGCTGAGTACCAGGGCAATGTAACTTCCTGAGGTAAAACGACAAGCAAATGTTCTGCAGTTTTCTCTCCAGATTTGATTTTGATTTCATTTGAATGGTTCTGTGCCTAATTGCTTGCCTATAGTGAAAACTTAATGTGTTGATTTTCCAAGGGCTACAGAGAAGCACTTGGAGAACAATCAGTCAGATGTTTTGTCATATCCCAGGCAGCCCTAGCAGCATTTGCCTGAAATGAAATGTAACATCTCTACACTGCAGGCAATATTTTTGCTGATAGTGTTTCTGCATATCTTGCTATATAAAAATAGATTTTTATTTTATTTTTATTTTTTTAATGGTTTAGTTATTGGTTAAAGCAAAACCAAAACCCGACTTGCATTAAGATGACAGTACCAAACTGGAAGCTGAAGTGGTCCTTTCCATTTGATTGCGGTCACATCAGGTCCTTAGACTTGATCCTGAGCCATCTGCTAATTGCTGCAGTTTTGCAGTCATATATCCCAAAGCTAATTTAGTTTGGAAGAAGCTGTTGGAACATGGATACATCCTTGGAAATCACCGAGTGCCTCTGTTAATGGGCACTGCAAATTGATGAGCTGCTCCAGCCTGCCCTACCACAGGACAAACTCAGATAGTGTCCTGTCCTTCACAGACTTCTTAGGCCCTGTGCTGTTGAGTAGCTTTGGAGGATGCTGCAAGCTAAAGGAAGCCCTGAGGCTATCTGTCCATAATACCAGACTGAAGAGCTGTCTAAACACTGAAACTACAGGCAAGACACCAGAGCACCTGGGAACCCCATGACAGAGCATGCCAACACATTTATTTGCCTGCTGGCATGTGAGAACTGCCCTGTCAGTTGGTTATGGGGCACATGGTGCATGGGATGCAGATGGGTCATGCTTCAGGATGCTCTGGAGGCTTCTCTTCTTGAGCAGTACAATTGCTGCTGCCAAAGCTCAAACTGCAGCACCACTCTGCACCCCAAAACATTGTCAGGCATGCTAAAGAAAAGCAGAGACTAAATGCAGAGTGCATTTGGACCAAGGCGGGATCTTCAGGTTACTGCTGTTTCTTGTGAGCCTGTATGTGTCCCTTTGAATACAGCAGTGACAACATAGCAAAACGTTGCTGATGATGCTGCACCAAACTCTCTGGGGACCTTTTATCGACATGGGTCTGTCAAGGTTATTAGAAACATCAAACTAAACAAAACGTGATGGAAGGATAGACACTGATTTGTCATCATCTTTTCCTGTTATAACCAGTCCTCTTATGCTCTCCATCACTCTGATGCCCCGTTTGACTCAGTCTGTTAAGGTACTTGTCCTCATGACACCCCAGTGAGGTGAGGGAAGAGCTGTAGATGGGCACAGACAGTGTGTCTGTGTTAATAACAAGTGAAAAAACATTTCCAGAACTGGCTTGTGCCCCTGAGGTCACAAGCACCACGTGGGCTGTGACAGCTACCAGGGTCACCCTGGAATAGGACTGCAAGTTGTTATGTGCAGGCTGCAGCACAAGGCACAGTTCAACCATGCTTCCCAGGGCCAGAGGTATTGGATCTTGTTAGCAGAGTCCATAGCTGATGGCATGCATCAGTTCTGATTGTGCAAATTATTTTGTGGGGAAAATAAAAACAGAAGAGAAGAGACTGTTTTGTGTGATGCAGTTGCTGTGGAAGACTGCCAGTTGAGGAAATGGTGGGCTGTCTCTAGTGTCCTCTGTGTCCACATCTGGGGCCACAGGTGTCCAGCTCCTCACAAGGACTACAAAGAGAGGTGCCTGAACTTAGATGTGTAGGACCTCTGGTCCTGAACCAAGTATGCTAAGGGGCTTGGTAGCAGTCCCTCTCTCACAGAGCTGGTACAGTTTGGTGTCAGATGCACTTCCATTGAACAGGTCATTCTGGCTGGACACTTTCACATTGGCCGTATTTAGGTGGATTATTTTGTCGCTACTCTGGGCAGTGGGCCTGTGGAAGCCTCACCTCCATTCACCTCAATCTAAAAGCAGGTGAGGAGAGACCCCACAACTCTTGTTTGGCTTAGTTCCTCTTAGGTTGCAATAGGAGTAGCTGTGTTATCAATTCCACAATCCTGCTATTGACCAAGCACAGTTGTCTAGTAAAAATGGTGAAGTGTGCAAAGCAGCTTGCACTACTGAGTGTTTTAATGCAGTGATGCTGAGTTCAGAGGGGTTTGAAGACTGATGTGAGTGCAAGAGAGCTGCATGAAGAGAAATTCTGCTGGAATATTTCTGGAGGATGGTGCAGGAGGACATACCAAAGTGGTATGCTGTATTGCTTCATACATTATCTGGTTCATGCCAGACAGCACTTAGGAACTGCTTGGTAAAGTGCAATCTGGCACAAGCCAAAAACATGGTGGACATAATTTAACAATAGAGGCAAATATGCCCTTATCATATTTAGTTTTTTTGGGGGTAGACGTATAGCCAGGGAAGCTATGTCTCATTTTCCTGCAGATACTGCCTTCCCTCCCACTGATCTCAGACTCAGCCAGACACTCTAGGTAAGCACACAAATATTTTTGTAGACTTGACCCAACCAGGTGACCCATCATTGTGTGGGAAGTCTCTTACAGAGGAAGACACTTAGCCTGTGTCAGTCTGGCCACAGTAGTCAGGCTGCTCATGTGGGTAAAAGGAGGTATCAGAGAAAGGTGAGATGGGACCTGGGCACCTCCTGCAGCCTCCTCAGGGCAGGGGTCTGTATTCTTTTCATTTGCCTGTAAAGCACATAGCTGTGGCCTTGTGTAAATAATGCATAACATGCACAGTCATATTTTCTACACTTCCTTGCCTGCACAGATGGCTCCTATGGGAAAATGTCATTGCTGATCATTAAAAGTCAACAAACTCATCAATTACCAAAATAAATAAGTGGTATACTGTTGGCATTGTTGGCTTTTCAAGTGAGTAGGATCCTGTGTATGTGTGTGTGTGTTGTTTTTTTTCCTTTCCTTTTTTTTTTTTTTTTTTTTTTTCCCATGGATGCACCTTCAGCAAATTGATTTGATAAAACCCGGTTCCAGACATCACCTTATTTCAAGTTTGGTTACCTAGGAAACCGCAGTATACTGCTGGGACAAGCTGCCCGCTTCTGCTTCTGTTGAAGCTATTAAACACATCAGCTCTTCCTTCAGGAAGAGCAGAACACTCGTGATTTCGACTCCTAGCCATTTTATGCAGATATAGGCTGTGCATCCTACCAAGAGAGACGTGCACCTACAAATGCCTGTGGGAGGGGGACATAAACACTATCCATACCTATGTCTGTGTATTAAAAAAATGGTCATTTAACTATCAGGCTTCCTGTAGATATTGCATGTATCTATAGCATACAAATGTGTGGATGTATGTACTTGCTGTGTGTACACATATGCCTATGCAGAGTGTCTGGTGAGTATGTGTTGCTTATACACGTAGGTGCTGCTTCTCCTGAGATGACCGAAGTTATCAGGATTTCCATGAAATTATAATTTTATTTGAGGATGTGAGGGGTTTTTTTGCAGAGGACTTATTTGGGTAATATAAGCTCATCTACTTTGGGACAACAAGCCCTTTGCACTCTCTGCGTTGCCTTTTTTGAAAAATTAGGCCCTCGGAGAGTTGCTCTAGCACATCACGGTGGTACTTGCAAGATGGTTGGATGAAAAAAAAGCCCAAACACCATACTTATTTTGTAAGATGCTTGATTTCACCAGATTTCCATAATGTGTTCACAACAGCAACATGTCTCTCAGGTGGGAGGTATTCAGCTGCATGATGTGGCCTAGGGACATGGGGTGCTCAGGTGTTGGGCTGAAGGTGGAAGCCATCAGTGAACAGCTGGATAGGGGAATCCCATTTCCTTCCTTGCACCAGGGCCCAGGAGCTACACAACACCATAGGGAGGCAAACACATACATAGTCAATTTGTCTGCTCTTGTTTAGCACTGGTAACATTGACTGGAGCTAGCTCTTATTTAGTAGACAGCCCTGTCAACAAGAAACCCCCTTTTCCCCATGCTGTCATTCAGCAATTTTCCAGGGATGCTGGATGGCTTTAATGTTTTCTTTTACAGGAATGTGGAGCCCAATGTGCAGCTCACAGATGGGAAAATAAAATCTGCTATGCATATCTCTGATTAGCTTGCTGTGTGCTATAACTCGTAGCCATCTGCAGGTACCCTGTCTTTCACCAGCTATGGATATTGTGACTGCTCTGGTAGAGAGGAAAAATACCTTGAGGGGATGGGAGTGGTCAGAGAGGCTGCCCTGAGATGCCATGGTAGGAGATCTGTCATCCGAGGCACAAAGTCTGTCCTGATGGATTTTGATGAACGATATACTCCTTGTATTATTTGCAGGAAAAGACCATCAGTGCCTGCTCCTTTCACTGTCCTGTATGGGAGCCCAGTGTGTAGCAGGGACAACAAACTCTGGAGAACAGGAGGTGAAAGTCTTCTGCCCCTCTCCCCCACAGCCTGTGTCTCTGGGGCAAGGAGCAGCAGAGTAACTCCAGTGTATGGGCTAGAGCAGTGGCCTAGAAACACCTACAGCAGGGAGCAGGGCTGTGTAGCTCTGTCGTATCCAACAAAATTCAGAAAGGATGTCTGCAGACCGCGCTGCCTGTACATGATAGCTTGCATTTGGGGAAAGTCAGAGGCATCGCTTCCTGTTCATGCAGCTTCCGAGGCCTGTCCCAGGGTGCATGAGATGGATGCACTGTTTCACTCAAGGTTAGGGCAACTTGGATAGGGATAGGAGCTCTGAGATGCTGGAAGGAGAGTGTGTCTGTAGTTGCATCTTGGGCTTAGAGGACACACACACAATGAGGGATCTAATGAAGAGAAGAGAAGGGAGAGGTACGTGTCAGAGCTCATCTTTCAGCAGATCCATTTCCTAGGCAGCTGCAGGTTTTAAATAGGTTTTGTTTTGACTTGTTTTCTGTTTTATTAGTATTATTTATTTATTTATTTACTTTTCTGTTTGTGATAGCACTTAAGTGTATGCCTAAATGTTCTAAACAGAAGCTTAAGGAATGGCAATAAGTTGTACCTTTTCCCTGAAGGGCCTGCTCCACAAAATCCTTGGATCTTTTAATGTCTGCTGATACAGCCAGGAACAGGCAGCATTCATACCAGGGCTATGAGAAGCTGTGTGTGACAGTTACCAGACAGCAAGTTGCTCCTAGGACAGCTGCATTTGTTTGAAATGTGCACCAGTGTGGTAGCACTGTGATTTTTATAAGTGACTAAATCTGCTCTATTTCTCCAACTCCCACATGTGGGGCACTTCACTACACAACTGCCTACCAAAATTAAGCAGAATCACAGATTGGAAAGAAAGATATGCAGTCCTGTGGGGAAGATGCGTACGATTCTTGTTCCACCACCAGTCCTCAGTCGTGCTTGCAGTGCGTGCTGTGAGTGTCTTGTCTCCCCAGGCAGAGTGCTGTTCCACATCTACCCCCTCTGCTTGTGGGGAGCGAGTGCCACAAAGTTCCCGAACATTTTCAAGGGTGCTGGTGCTGCCTGTGACTCTGACATTGGGCTGACATCAGCAGGAAGATAAAAGAGAAATGTATTCAGGGTTGTGTCTGGCTGACCTACCTCTCCCTCCAGCCTTGCTGGCTTGAGATTCAGCTCACCATCAGAAGTGCTAGTTAAATCTCTCTTACACAGACAGCATAGCAAGCTTCAAAACTGCTGAACCACAGTGTATAGCTAGTCAAAAAATTATTGATGAGGCCTAACTGTCCAGCAGCTAGCACCCAAACACCATGAGTCTTGCCTTGCAAAATACATACATTTGGTACACATATAGGGTATGCAGTACACTTTCTAATCCATTGCATTGTGATCTTGCTAATTGACTCCAAAACATACGGTTTCCTTAAACAACAACTACCCTGATTAGGCATTTGTCAGGTGCGTGCTTGCCATGTTAGACTTGTTAGGTTTTACAGGTAACTTGACCTAATTAGACTGTGCATATCTGGATGGATGGATGGATAGATAGATAGATACTTGAAAGTCCAATTAAGTGACTGAGAAGACAATTTTCATTAACCTGTCAGCACTGATGTTACCTACATTTTTTGGGCTTTACTCAGTCTGATATAGAGTCCTGTGGTCCCTTGTTAGTAGCTACGTATAACTTTTATAAAAAACCTTTCTCATATCTATAATTAACACTGAATATTGCTCTCTCTGTGTATATACATGCATACAAGTACCTATATATTTATAACTTTATAACTTGAACACACAATGATCCACTATATATGCTTCAGCACCAAAACCAGCAAATGTGGAAATGATGGGCACATGATTTCTTTGATCCACTATCTCCAGGATGAAGTAGGGCCTTTTTAACAGCTCTGTATGATGCTGAGGGAGTGAGCAACAGCCTATCCAGATCAAAACCTCTGCAATGCATCTTTCCCTTCCTGGGGCAACGATTCATGCAGCTGGGGACCTACTTTTATGAATAGATGTTCCCAGAAGGGATTTGGCTATAGCAATTGTGTCAGTGCCTGGGACTTTTCCTGGATTTTTTTTTTTATGTGTATCAGACATTTCAACTGAGTCTATGTGTTCTGATCAGCAGCATCTCTGGAAAGGTTTGCTTTCTTGGCTGCCTATACGTCACTGATCTTTGATTGTTGTATACCTATATCCTGGAGGATATTATGTTTGCTTGGATGCACTTCTCATTCGAAATACTGAAAACGATGAAAAGAGAAGCTTTGGCAACAGCCAAACTTGTGATAATTGTCTCAGCTGTAAAAGCTGCTGGGGCCTCACAGAGATAGTGGCAGCAGATGCATCTGTGCCTGTGATACCCTGCTTTCCCAACATCC